GCGACGGCCGCGGCGCCTTTACTGCAAAATCTGCAGGAATTTCGGGCACTTGGCGGATCGATGCAAGCTTCGATCCCGCCCTCGCCAGACCAATCCGAGCAACTGGTCCGGCCGACAAGACGCGAGGAACGACACGCGTCCCGCCCTGGGGTATCAACCCTCATCGCGCAGCCTGAACCCAACAGTTCAGCAGCAGCAGCAGCCATCTCAGGCCGCCCCAGTCCGCAATGGGAACATGACTATGACGAGCGGATCTCGTCGCCCGCGCGCGTGCTCACCGTCACCTGAGCCGGCGCCTGACCCAATTGGAGCGTTGTCGAACAACAATCCGTTCAGCACGCGTCACGACTACAGCGACGACGACAACCAGGACTGGAATCTCCCAGTCCTGCTGCTTGAAAGCCCCCCGCACGTACCTGACATGCGGCCGGCACCGATCGATTGGATCGCGCGCGAACAGTTCTTGAAGGTCGACACTCCACACATCGTCACTCCGCGACTGGCGCTGCTCGCGCGAAACGACAACAGGCGCTACAACACATGGTACCTGGACAGCCGCTGTGGGCAGCACATGGTGGGCTCTGAGCGTTACATATCCAACGCCATCCCCACTCCCGTCGTCACCTACGTCATTGTGGCGAACAATACGCGGCTGCGCGCAAGCGCGCAAGGCATTGTTGTGCTCAAAGCACATGGGAGCAGAACGCACATCACCTTGAATGACGTGTTGATTGTGCAGAACCTGCGCTTCAACCTGCTCTCGGGCGGCGCAACTCCTGGATTGCGGAGTCATCCTCAGCATAGACCCCCCGAAGCTGCGCTGAGTCACCAGCCCTTCCCCCTGCTCGAGCCAGGAACCAATCGCTACGCCAAGCTGGAGAAAGTTTACAGTGACTTTCTCAACGTAGGACACTGCGGCATCAACGACGAGCTCTACACACTCACCTTCGTCGACGCCGGAACGCGCCACGTGTGGGTCGTAAACGTGGAATCGCGCAGCAGAGCCTACGAAGCATTCCGCCTGTGGCTGGCGCACGCGCAACGGCAATCTGGGGAGAAATTGAAGATCTAGCAGTCCGACGGCGCGGCAGAATTCAGGAGCAAGGAGCTGCAAGACTACCTTGCGCAAAAAGGGATCGAGAACCACATCTCCCTCCCCTACGCGCACCAGCAGCAGGGCGTAGCAGAGCGCACGAATCGCACCCTCATGAAGAAGGTGCGGGCGCTAATGAGGCAGTCAAAGCTCCCACCGATCTACTTGACCTACGCGATGCACCACGCCGTGCAGGTGCACAACCTGCTGTCAACCACCGCGATCACCGGGAATTCCTCGCCACATGTGAAGTGGACGGGAAGAAAGGGGGAGACTTCCATGCTCCGCGTATGGGGGTGTATGGTTCAATACCAACCGCCAACATCAACCATCGGGAAATTTAAGAGCCGCGCGCGCTGGGGAATCCACCTCGGCATCAGCCACGAACACAAAGCGTGGATCTCCTGAGTCAGACAATCAAAAATGCGTGTGACGTCATCTTCTACGAGCGGCTCTTCCTGCGGCAATTCCGTGACGACGAGCAGACGAACGCAAACCGCGTCTACGCCAACGAGGGCCAAAGCTACGCCTCACCTGAGGACAAAGCCGCAGCAGCAATTCTGGAGCAGGATCCCAGAGGCGAGTTCACGAGGGGCGATCGTCGCGACGACAACGACGACGACGATGATTTAGCAGAAGGAGGAGCGGGCGCAGCAGGAGAAGGCGCAACAGAAGGAAGCGGAAGCGGCGGAGGCGCAACACCATCAGCCCCACCAGAGCCGGAAAGCGACGACGACGATGTGCAGGAGGTCGTCCCACAGCACCGTCGCGACAGCACCGTCACTGGAATGCAACTACTCGGGCTCCACGCAGCCACATCAACGGCGCCACGCATCATCGAGCCCAAGAATCCACGGCAAGCACTCACGGGACCTCATAGCAAAGAATCGCGGGAGGCGATGGACGCAGAGATCCGGGCACTCGAGTCACGCGACACCTGGGTGCTCGTCGACCGTGCAGCAGTGAAGGGGAGAAGAATTCTCTCCGGCAAATGGGTCTTCCGCGTGAAGACAGGAGCTGACGGGACGATCGAGCGATTCAAGGCACGCTGGGTGGTGCGAGGCTACGATCAAAGGCATGGAATCGACTTCGACCAGACGTTCGCACCGGTTAGCCGTCACACGTCCGTCAGAATTCTCCTCGCCATCGCAGCCGCACGACACCTGCCGCTACGACAGATTGATGTGAAAAATGCGTTCCTATACGCGTTAGTAGATGCAGTGATCTACGTAGAGCAGCCGCACACATACGATGACGGGGACCCACGTGTCTGTCAGCTACGCAAGTCCCTGTATGGGATTAAACAGGCGCCGAGACTCTGGCAGCAGTACCTGCACAACATACTGCTTGAAATCGGGTTCAAGCAGCTGCCTCACGACCATGGGATGTATCGCCGCGATTCCCGCGGCGAATACATCCTACTCACGGTCTACGTCGACGACCTTCTCTACACAGGGTCGAGCAACGAATTGCTTGAGCAATTTGAGAAGAGTCTTGCAGAGCGCGTCGACATCACCTGCAATCATGACGTGAAGCAGTTTCTCGGCCTCAACATCACCTACTCGCCGGAAGCCATTCATCTCTCAGATGCAGAGGAGCTAAGCAAGCGTTTCAACATTTCACCTGCACCACTCTCCACCCCTTACCGCACTCCAGGACCCAACCACAAACCTGACAACAAAGCCATGTCCCCTGCTGGACTTCACACCTACCAGCAGCAGTTGGGGTGCCTACTCTTTGCATCTGTTACCTGCAGGCCCGACCTTTCCTACATCGCGAGCCAGTTGGCTCAGTACTCACGCAAACCAACGGCGGAGAACCTCTCAAATCTTCAGCGAGCCCTTCAATTTTTCATCTCCACGCCCAATGTTGGGCTCTACTACTCCACCATCCCAACCGCATCCTTCGGTCTCGTCGGCTACGTGGACACAAATCATGCCGCTGATCCCGACAATCGACGGTCCAAGACAGTTTTCCTCTTTCGCCTCGAGCCCAGTGGCCCCATCTCCTGGAACTCGCAGAAGCAGGAGCTGATTGCCCTGTCATCAGCGGAAGCCGAGTTCATCGCAGCAACAGCAGCCGTTCGCGAAGGCCTCTACCTTCAGGAGCTGCTGCAGGAGGCAAAAAACTCTGCCTCAGCAAACTTTCGCCTGCACTGCGACAACCAAAGCGCGATCAGAATCGCGAACAAACCCGGATTCGTCAACCGCACCAAACACATCGCGCTGCGGTACTTCTTCGTCAAGGACGAAGTTGACAAGGGCAAGGTTGATCTGATCTACTGCCCGACGGTGACATGGCAGCAGACTTCCTCACAAAGAAACTGCCGCGTCAGCAGTACCAGCACTGCTCCGAACTCAGCGGGGTAGTCAAGCGGGTCAAGACCTGCTACGGCCAGGAGTGAAGGGGGGTGTTACGAATAGTAATTACTGAAATACTATTGTGCACTCCTCACCGCAGCAAACGCAGCATGCACTACCGAGACTGAAGATGAAAGGGCGCAAGTGACGCAAAGGGTCACACGGTTACGAGAAGCATCTGGACCGTCGGGCAGACAGCATCAGGCAGCAGCAGTGGCGAGGATTCTGCCCGAACGGTTTCGTAACCACCCGGAGTCGCACGGTTGGATTTCGATGCAATAAGGGAATGTACCCCTTAGAGTACATGGCTAGCTAGGTCGTTTCGAATTCCCTTGTACTCTTATTTATATTCCTTGTACTGCATGTTTTTATTATCTCAAGCATTTACATTCACTCTGCTATTGAGGTCAAGGGCCCACCACCACCAAATCAGCAGTGTGCGAACCTTCCTGAGGTGATCCTGAGAACGATCGAATTCTGATCGGAGCAATAAGGCCATTCGTTTTCAGCTGTTTCAAAGGCTTCTAGACTGTCCTGTCCTTCCATGATTTTCCAGCCGTTGACAAAATCATGTATTATAGAAAACTGATTTTGATCAAGTTTTGGAAGTATACAAACTGACTTTCGAGGAATGGCATATCGAACCAGCTAGGCGAAAATCGAGGGCAGGAACTGCCTCGGGAGTATGGCGAAGGTTATGGGGGTGTCTCGAGAGTGGTTTGGGTCCGATTAGTCAGGCCGAACCTGCTCTGGCGAGAAGTTCGGAAACCAGCAGAAACGCGCGCGAAGTCGATTTACCGAAATAAACCGAGGTAAGTAAGATTCGAACCCACATTTTTCGGCACACCTTGCCGCAGCAGCGCGCGCAGCGTGTGCCCTCCTGTCTGCTCGACTCCCTCCCCGACGACCCCAAGGCTTCCCTCTCTGCCTCCCCTCGACTCTCCACTCATGACCTTCACACCTGCCTGCCCACTAGGAGTACAAATCAGCAGCTCGCACTCCAATTTCTCTCATCACACCAGCCTCAAGCTCCACTTGTTACCAACATCGGTAGCTCTCAGCCTTCCGTTCCCGTTTTCAGTCAGCCTCAGAATGGCCTCAGTGTCCGGCTCGAAGAATCCCGCCTATTCGGCAGCGCTGAGCTTCTGGAAGAGTCTCGACAGGGAGAGTTCAAGGGCATCACAGCGCGTACAGCCGGTGAGCGAGTCGTCGAGCAGCGGAACGAGCGACGCCTGCCGTTCTTCCGCCGTGACGACCCGCTGCAGCGCCTCTGACGCGACCACCTGCTGCGACAGCACCAACGATGACCATCGCGCTCACGCCGCCGCGGAATGCAACCACGCGTGCGCTCGCCACGACACAGCGTCGGAACCTGCTGTGTTGGAATCCGCAGCGTCGGAACCTTCAGGGTCGGAATGCGCAGCGACAGAATCTGCTGCGACGGAATCCGCTGCGACAGAATCTGCTGCGACGGGATCTGCTGCGACGGAATCTGCTGCGACGGAATCTGTTGCGACTAAATGTGCTTCGACTCAATCTGCTGCGACTCAATCTGCTGCGACAGAATCAGCAGCGTCGGAATCAGCAGCGTCGGAGTCAGCAGCGTCGGAATCACGTGCGTTGGTCGCGTGCGTGTCGAGCCCGTCAGGTGGTCGCACCAAGGCTGCGGAAACGAGATCAGTAGCACCACCGTCGCGCATCCCCAAACCAAGCAACAATGGAGCGCCTAGGCGGCGCGTGGAGGGAGCGAGTCTGATTCCGCGGCCGAAATGTGTTGTTCCACAGAGGGAGGTGAGGGCAGTGCACGCTGAAGCTGCAGTCAAGCCGCCTCGCAGAACGTCCAAGGCCGCGCTGGCTGCCCTCCCACGGCGCCCATGGCGGCCTTGACTGCTGCTTGCATGGAAAATAAAAGGAAAAAAAAAGGGAAAGGAAAAAACGAAAAAAAAAAAAAATCAAGGAAACAAACAAGTGATTGGTTAAGAGTACGGTTCCACAGTATGGGAATGGGATGGAAGGCAGGTACGCGCAGGGAGGCACAGCAACGCGCAGAGAGCAGCGAGGGGGGAGGGAGTTGTGGAGGTGGGGTGGGTGTGGTGTGGATGGGGTGGAACACTACGGTGGCACTACCTTTTTTTGCGCCCTGCTTCACAGCAGGGTGTTTGTGGGAGTGTGGGTGGGCAGTTGACGGTTGGAGGGGGTGAGGCAAAGCTGTGGTGTGGTGCTGTTCTGAAAAAAGACTCTTGTTGCTGCTGCTGTGCTTCGAGGACCACTCTGCTCTGCCGTGCTGCTGCTGTGCTCTCAATGCCACAACTCAACAATGGCTCCTGCCGGTCATGCTGCTGTGGGAAGATTAATGTATAGGAATACAGTAGGACACAAATAGGTGCTGCCATGAAACTAGGCAAGATCACATGCAACGCTGCTGGAGGGGGGGGAGTGGGCAAGCGGTAGGAAGGAGGGGCTGAGGAGCAGCACGTGTGGTGGCAGGGCGAGTGGTGGGCCCCGTAGACACCACGCCTGCCTGCCTCCCCGCTCCCGCCCTCCCTGCACGCCGCCTGCACCCCTGTCGCCTGCAGCGCGGCAGCAGGGGGAAGGCAGCGAAGAAAGGCGGGGAAAGGAGGAAGAAGGGAGCGGAGAAAGGAGGGGAAAGGAGGAGAAGGGCAGAGGAATAGGAGGCGGTGCCCTCCCCTGCCCTCCTCCGCAGCACTGGCGCCTTGAGAGCACACAGCAGGGCAGGCGGGCGGCAGGCTGGGGGCAGCATGGGGAAAGGGGGCGGAACAAAGGGGGGGGAGGAGGGGAAAAGGGGGGTGAAGAAGGAGAGTGAAGGGAGGGTAAAGGAGGAGTGATGGAGAGGTATCGGAGGACAGGAGAGGGAAGGAGGGGGAAGGATGGGGACGGAGGGGGAAAGGAGGAAAAAAAGAGGGGGACGGGAGAGGGGAAGCAGGCGGAACGGAGGGAAAAAGGGGGGGGAAAGAGGGGGGCAGGAAGCTTTGGGCAGGAGGGAGAAAGGAGAGGAATTGGGGGAGAGAGAGGGGAAAAGGAGGGCGGAGGAGGGGCAGGGAGGGCGGAAGGAGGGGTGCGTGCATGAGCGGTGATGCCGTGGCCTCCCCTGCATGGCGCCCCGCCGCACTGGGGGGCGCCCAGGCAGTGGCACGCCTGCCAGAGTGCCGCCTGCAGCGCGGCATGGGGGGGGGGGGGGCGCACGCGGGGGGTAAGGGGTTAAGGGAGGGGGAAAAAGGAGGGAAGAGTGATGCTGGCAGGAAAGGGAAAGGAGGGCAAAAGGATGATGACGGGGAAAGGAGGGGAAACAGGGAAGAAGGTGGGGGGAAAGGTGGGGGAAAGAGGCAGATGCGGCACAAACGCAGGAGGGCGGAAGGGGTAAGGAGGGGGAAATGAGGGGGAAATGAGGGGGAGAGGAGGGGGAGAGGAGGGGGAAAGGAGGGGGAGAGGCTTGGGAAAGGAGGGGGAAAAGAGGGGGGCAGGAGGGGGGACAGTAGGGGGAAGGAAGGGGGAGAAAGGAATGGGGGGAACGAAATGGGCGGAAGGGATGGGCGGAAAGAAATCGGCGGAAGGGATGGGCGGAAAAAACTGAGCGGAAGGGATGGGCGGAAAGAAATGGGGGGGATGAGGATGATACTAACATATTGTGCGACCCGCGTTGGACGGGCGGTGTTGGCGCGAGGGGGGAGTTGCGCAGAACGATGGCGGCCCGCGCGAGCGAGTGATGGCGGGCAGACGGGCAGCGCGCGCGACGAGACGCGCGGTGGCGAAGCAGGCAGGGGAGGTTGGTAGGAGCGGGGCGGTGATCGGAGATGGGTGTGTTGCGCGCGGGGATGGGCCGGCCGCCTCGCATCACTCCGTACCTCCGTCCCGCGCATCCCTCCACCACTCGTGGGGCCCGCCAACGGCGCTGCCGCGTGAACACGCGCATCTCGCCCGCCTCGTCAAGCGCGCAGCTGCCGCTTCAGTGGCGCCCACGCGGCTGCACGCGCGGCTGGCGGAACGGCGGTGGGGCCACGCGGCACGCCAGGCGAGCAGCAGCGACGCGCACCGCGCGACGTCGCTGCGACCGTGACTGAACGAACTCGCGCGACAGCCATCGTGATAGCCATCCATGAAGCGACCGTATTCGAGCGCCTTGCTACGCCGCTGGACCACTGCGCGCTCGCCATCCCTCCCACACTCTCGCTCCTCTCTATCGTCACTGCGCGACGTCGCTGCCGCAGGATCACGCGCACCAACCATGTCTGCCACCGAAACTGCCGCTCGTCTATCGTAACGTAACGTCTAACCATGACATTCATTGCTAGTACAGCTTCAACTCGTGGGCTCACTTATTGCGCGGCGATGGCGCTGCGTCGTGCACACTGGCTCTTCTCCCTGGTATCGCCTTGCCCCAACCACGAATCTATCCTCGCTACAAGAGGTCTTCCGAGTGCAAGTTTTATACATTCAATTCAAAAGAATTCCTTTGACTTTGATAAATGGAGTGGCGACGCAGCTGGACAAGTAGATGCTACAGGTGAACGACAACGGAAGTGTAACGATGATGAGTCGCATGCCTCGGACGAGTTCCGCATGCGAATCAGTAGGCGACATACATAAAACGAGACATTGACGAAGACGATGCGGGGCATACAAGCACGTCAGTCACAACAACGGTATCGACTATTGTTAAAAAACCAAGATAATGAATCCACCTCCATTTAACCTGACAACGATTCACTTTGGCGGTTTTGCTTCTTTTTTTTTATATATATTTATCTATTCTAACACGAATAACATTGCACCTTACAGTATCGTTACCATGTGAGGACCTGCATTGGAATGGTGACATTGTACATTCCACAAAGGGATATTTGGCAGAAGGAATACATGCGAGCCACAAAACTTCGAAACCTTGTCAGAATCTCAGCCACTAGACCACTGGGATAAAAGGGCTTGTTAAGTAGCGGGTCAGTGCGCCCATAACCCCCCAGGACAACGAGCCTGTAACCATTCCCTAGGGGATCACCAGTGGACCTCTGACACCCCCCCGCCCTGGGATGCCCGAAATGCATACACCGGGACTTGAACCCGAGACATTCGCTCTAATAACATGTCAGAATCTCAGCCACTAGACCACTGGGATAAAAGGGCTTGTTAAGTAGCGGGTCAGTGCGCCCATAACCCCCCAGGAGAACGAGCCTGTAACCCTTCCCTAGGATCAATCGGGGATCACCAGTGGACCTCTGACAAACCTGACAAGGAGAGTCCAAGATTACAATCACAATAAAAAGCAAGCGAGTACAATAATCAGCAACTAAACAGGTGAGGGCCTGCTGGAACAAGGCCTAACTGAGTTCTGAGCCGATGATGGTCGCGTGGCTGAAGTGTTTTTGTGAAGATATCGGTAGTGTAGGCCTTTGATGCCAAAATATCCAACCGCGCATGGCCGCGTCGGTGCAACTTACGCGGAAGAAAGTATCACAGCTCGTTATGCCCCTCTCTCCCTCCAGTCAGGGCTCCCGACACAGGAGGATCATGGCCGGTTGACAGCGAACAAGGTCGGACAGAGATAGGCTGCTCAACTAAGTCGAAGCTAGGCCATGGCACCGACGTAGATCTAGGCCTCAGCAGTGGACGAAGCCACATACGACGAACGAGTAGATATCCATGGATCAGATCTTGAGCCCTGGCTAAAACAGTAGCTCTAAAAAAGACCTGCAAGTTTCATCGTCGTCAGCCCACGACGCGTTAGTGTGCCCGGTAAGTCGCACCGGTCCCACTCCAAATGCAAGCCTCACGCCTTTTGTGCTCGCCAGCTACTTCGCTACAGAGAACAAGACGGTGTTTCACGGTCGCAACAAGGTGAGCAAGGATGCTGAGAGGATAGACGATCTGGCCGAGTGCACGTCATTGAGTACATGAGGCACCTCACAAGCTCTGGGTACTGACCAGTAGGCTCAGCCAGCTCGTCTGGAATAGGATCATTGAGTTTATGGTCAACTGGGCAATAGAAGTGGGCTGTGTGGAGGAGACCTTAAAGACGAACTGCTGAAGGACTTGCTGAACCATGTGTGGCTGATTCTGATTGATGGTGCATGCTACTCTGTACTTTGTGATTTGCAAGCCACGATAGCAGCGCAGCTCACGAATGTTAGTGCAAGTGTGTCTCTTCTGCATTTCAGCCTTCACTGAATTCAGTGCAACCTTGCGTGTAGTAGCTAAGACCAAGTCATCGACGTAACAAGAGTGAAGAAACGGGTGGGCTCCGAACGAACGAAAAGTGACGGGTCGGTTGAAGATGGGTCGAAACCGAGAGCAAAAAGAGTGGTGCCACTTAGGAGGTGTATGGCATAGACCATAAACTAATATGTTAAAATAAGAACGGAGGGATAGATGACTAAATTAAAAAAGTACAAGGGTAGATATAGCAAACCTAACCCTAGTACTAATAATGCTGTGCACCATATAGACTAAACATTACAGGCTTTAACAATGACAGCCTGACACACCCCAATTGTCTAGGTGACGGCAGTCCTGTGGACGGCAACACATGTCCCAGGGTGAATAAAAAAGTCACTCCACAGTATGAGAGCAAGCAAGAGTTCATGACCAGTCAACAAGAACAAGCAATAGTCACAAGACCAGTCCACAAGACAAATTAACCAGCAAGAGATGCAACTCAAGCAAGATAAACATCTTCAAACAAGCAAGTGTGGAAGTGCAGGCACAATGCCCAACTGGGTGCAGAAACTCTGGTGGTTACAATGCGGCAACGACTTGTGAAGATATCCGCAGCGTTGGCCTTAGAGATCACACGTCTCACGCGAGCCTGGCTATGCTGCTGCAACTCACGCAGAAAACTAACGAAGCTGGATGTTTGACATCCCTTCATCTGGCGGCGCAAGGCATTCCACCTCTTCGATCTCATCCAACCATTTCCCGACCACATTGGTGCAGGAGGTGGTGGGCATGTGACAGTTGGTGCAGCGTCCGTCGGGGCCAGGATTGTGCATCATCCATCTCTTGCAAGTGAAGTTAAAGTTTGACCTAGAGTTCAAACCTTCAGGCATGAAATTGTTTCCATCAAACACGGTACTTGTCTTGATTTAGGAGACGTTCAGGAACATTGCTTGCGCTAAGTTGATAACATCATCACTTGGACGGGGCGTTGTTGGTGTTGAGCTGTTTGTGTTGAGGATGAAGGTTTGCAAGGTCAGTTGTGACTGGTTGAGTAGGTTAGGAGAAGGTTCCCATGTCACCATTCCGCAATGTTTGGAGTACTTGCTCCATATTGATGGTCGTTGAAGTAGCTGCTAGAGATCGGCAGTGCTGATCGTAGTCGTCGCCTCTGATGTCGCAGCAGGGTTGGGATGTGCTTCAGCCGTCAGATTTGTTTGGCCGCCAGATCCTCCGACCATCTTGACATGTGAGCGTGGGCCGCTCGCCACTTTCAGTTCATGAATTCTCGGAATTGGGGTTGCAAAGAATCCCTGAGTCGCTCTCATACCATGTTACAATGCCGCAAGGGAGTTTTCCCGAATCGTCTCAGGGTTGATCACAGAGTGATATTACAGCGAAAATGATTGATTCCTAGTAAGAGTGAATGTGAAATGACTGAAATGACCATAACATAGACATACATGTTTTACGTTACGAATTAATATGAAATGACCTAGCTAGCTCTGTACTCTAAGGGCTACATTTCCTTGTTGCATCAAAATCCAACCGTACAGCGTGGTAACCTGTTTAAAACCTGTTCCCGCCTTTTTCCGTTCAAATGCATTTGCCTGCATTGGTCTTCATGTGACAACTGTCTTCGTCGGTTTGACTCGCCTGACTCGGCTTCATACTCGGTATGCAAACTCATGTGTCAAATGATATATATGTTTGTGCTAGTCTATTGTGAGGTATGCTGTAGGGATTACAACATGGTTAGAGTTAGCTATTTGTACCCAACCCTTGCTAGTCCAATGCGTTCCGCTGTTCATAGATTCTAACATGATGTCATCGAGTAGGTTCGTTCCGCCTCCCCTACTGCCCTACGCGCTGCTGCCTTAGTGCGCGCTACTGCCCTCTTGAGCGAACGCCTGCCGCTGCTGTTTGCGCTGCCCCACTGCCCCTACTATGTGTGATGCTGCAGCCGCGCTGCGTACTGCCACTGCTGCCTGCTACTCGCCGCACCGCGCGCTGCCGCTGCCGCCAGCTGGCCCGCCGCCGCGCCCCACGTTCTTGCTGCCGCCCTCTGCACTAGAAGCCGCGCACTGCCGCTGGTGCTCGCTGTCGGCCACTAAAACTCGCTAGCAGCCCGCTGCTGGCCTGCTGCCGCCCATAGCCACTCACCGCCGGCCTGCTGACGGCCGCTGCTGCCAATTGCCGACCCGCTAGCCGCTCGCGCACTGCTGTTGCCGCCCACTGCCAGCCAGCTGCCGCATGCTACTGCCTGCTGCTGGCCCCTGCTGCCCACTATCGCCCGTTGCAGCTCACTACACGCCGGCTGCCACCCGTTAGTTGCCGGCTAAGGGCTGGTTGCCGGCTCACTGCCGTCAAACCATGCTGCTCACCGCTGTGCTTCTGCCTACCGCTGAGCTGCCCTTCTGCTGAGCCGCACCCTACTGCCGTGCAGCCCGTTCGCACCCTGCACCCCGAGCTGCCGCCCGTACCTAGGCTTGCAACTAGTTCCTAGTGCTGCCGCCTGACCTAGTGTCCGCAGTGGGAACTACTCCTGGGCTCGCGTTTGACGTAGAGGGGCGCCCTCTCGAGTTTGAGTCTTGTCTAGAGGACGATGTCTCTCCGTTCGAGAACACATCGGGGTTCCTTAAGGCCCCCAAGACTCAAGCTCAGCCTTCTGTTGACGTTGAGGAGGAGGTGCAGAAGCAGTAATACATTGAAAGCATTGCCTGCACACGGTGGACGACGCTCAACGCTGCCGCCAAGCTTACCGTC